AAGACAGGTCACTTTGGGCTGAAGGACTGCAATCATGGTGGGCACCCTGCAACTGCCACTGATGAAAGAACTGTTGCCATCAAAGAGATGCTGAAGGACGATCTGCGAATCACCTATGAAAAAATGCACATGGCCCTAGGGATTGGAAATTCAGCCATACAAACTATCTTGCATGAAAAGCTTCAGCAGAGATGGGTTTCGGCCCGTTGGGTTCCTCATCTCTTGAAAGAGCATGAAAAAGTGGCCTGCATGGAGTTCTGCCAGTTCATGCTTCAAAGATCCAACAAGAGACACTCTCCTGATGTATATAAGATCATCACAGGTGACGAGACTTGGGTCTATCATTATGACCCTGAGACCAAGCAGCAATCATCAGCATGGCTTCCAAAAGGGCAACCTCCCCCTAAAAAACTGCACCAGGTCAAGTCCGGGTTCAAGGTAATGTTTGCCATTTTTTTCACCAAAAGTGGCTTGGTGAAGGCAGTACAACTAGAAAATGGGCAAACTGTGACTGCCGAGTGGTACGCAAAAGTTTGCCTGCCAGCAGTGTTCAACGCCCAAAAGGAGAGGCGGAAAAAGCATGGCTTGAAGGGGATGATGTTGCATCATGACAACACCCCAGCTCACAAGGCGAGGTTGACGGCGTCTGAGTTGGAGAAATGGAAAATGAAAGAGCTGCCACATCCGCCATATTCCCCAGACCTCGCTCCTTGTGACTTTTGGTTGTTCAGTGAAATGAAGCTGCAAGGGATCGAGTTTCGTGAGGAGGAACAACTGAAGAAAAGCATGGAAGGGGTCCTGGCATCCATCGAAACCATGCATTTCAGAGAGTGTTTCAAAAAGTGGTTCGGGTGCATGAAAAAGTGCATCATTCGATCTGGGGATTATGTTGAAAAGTTGTGAATAAGTGATGGTCCTGAAGCAAGAAGCACTTTGCCATAGCATCTCATCATAGCCAGAGGTCTCCTGAGGAACCTCACAATCCTCGTGGGGAATTAGGCAGATCTCATGAGTGTATGAGGTTTTTAAACAGGGTATGAAAGAAGAGTTTTAGGTAACTATATTAATTATAGTTTTTTTCAGTTTCAATTATCTGTAGATTAACAGAAACTAAAACCAAACTTGACAAATGAAAATCACTGTATAAGTTGGTTAACAGGAAACTTTCTGAGTTAAGCTGCATGGTCAATGGTGATACACAATTTGTTCCAGTAGGATGGTTTCCCTTTGATGTGTCTATTCTGAATCATGATGTGTCACCTCAGTAATGCAAGAAATTATGGAAAGAAAAAGGTTAAATTTAGAACATCTTAAAGCAAGCAGGGTTATATTTAATTTCTTCATAACTCAACTTGACCTTTCCTTGACTCTTGGCTTTGACATCTTAGCACGAGGCTGAGGAAGGGCAAGAAGAAGAAACAGCTTTTCTGTAACTTGCTTTAAATTTGATACTAAAGCCTGACCTGGGATTATCTATACATTAGGTATAAAGTTACACTCATACGATGAGACCCTCTGCATTAGATTTTCTTGATCCTTGTGCAATGACTAATGATGGAAGGATTATATTGAATATGGAACTGCTTATCTGAATCTTTACAGTGCCAGAGCTGATTGGAGCGACACTATGAATTTCGTTGAAAAAGGTCAGTGTCGAAGACCTGATGATTAAAGGGTTAAGAAATGCTTCTAGTTCAAGCATTCAATCGTGTTCCTTCTCAAGCTTTTGACATTTTAGTGCCAACTCTTCGATTCTGGCATTTTGAAGTGATATTTCTAGCATCGCTGTAATTGACTCTGACACTATAAGGGTTAATCTAGATGTAATATAGTGCAGGGGTTGGTTTTCTGAAAAAAGCGTAATTGGCTAAAGATGGTTTCTTATTGAATAGGTGCTGCAATCTGCTCAAGTGGGGCTTTGTCTAAAAACAGTTTCCAACAGGAGGGGAAAACTACAAAACTCAAAGTTTTTGGTTTTCCAATTATTTCACTAGGCATTTAAATGCCTGTCCAAGAGGTAACCATGTTGTATATCACCTTGCTGGAATCATAGGATTTCAAGGAATATGAATCGGCATCAATAATACATGAATTGTATTGAATTACCTTCTTGCTTCATGTCTGTACAGCTAGCTGCAGCTGCCTTTGTGACTAATGCCTTCTGGATCTCTTTGTATGCTCCATGATCAGTCCCCACAAAAGAAAAACATTGGAAGAAAACCAATTACTACTCCTGAAGGGATTCCTACATTGAAGTGTGCATGAACACTGAGTTCTATAAAACTACTCTAAAATATATACTCTACAAATGGAACAAATACGCTATGTATCCTATAACTAAGAGCACTCAGATTTTATACTATTTTCTTCTCAAAACTAAAATCTTAGAGGAATTGAATGCTTTGACACTCAACCAAACAAGAAACTATACAAGATGACTGTGTTCACTTAAGAACATGCTGATCCCAATAGCCCACATATCCAAGTCAGCTAGTAAAAGGATCAGCCTTCTTGTAATGTGGTAGTGTATATGCTTTAACTTTAACTACTAAAGTAGTATATGCTTTAACTTACGGTCTAAGATTCAAAACAGTGACTATAAGTATTCCTTGTACATGGGAATGACCTATAAAGGCAAATCAGGTATAGTGATGTCCAGATGTATGCTGATGATACCAGCATCTTCTACTTTCATCCTACTTTCCATAATATGAAACTAAAGGCAGAGCAGGGCTTTATAAAACTGGCTTAGTGGTTTTCATCCAACTTACTTTATCTTAACTTGGGAGAGAGAGTATCATGACAAAACTTACTACGTCTTGTCCAGATGGTGAGCTTGGCATGACATATATTTATTAAAAGTATATTGGACAAACATTTAACATGAGCCCATCTACGGTTTCCAAAAAGTAAACCTTAATTGCTTAAATGAATAGTAAAAAATTAAAATAGCATGCAAATGTCTTAGCATTTGCTAGGGCATAGATTATCGAAGGTCTATGCCGGCCGTGGTCTAAGAGGAACGAGTAGTTGAATGTAAAGGAATGGATATTACGTATAATACGATTCGACTTCGCTCAATGTCAAAAGTAAATTAACCAGTCATCTCAAGAAATGAAATTGTGTAATTCAATGAACTCACTCAGCGCTCGAGAGCCTTGCGTTGGGCCTACACCATGGCCTTCATATAAGTTTAGCAGTGATACTTAAAATTTCTACTTTATGCAGACCATTTGTATGGTAGATGAATTAGACACAACTGCTGGAGGGAGACGCCATGTCGCTCAAGGCTGTCAGCTGATGGTGACGTCAGAACGATTTCGAGGATGAGTAATCGACAGAAATGTAGATCCCATTTAACGTTTGGAAATATATCCACTTATTCAAAGATAAAATTGCTCAATTTCAACCTTTCCAAGTTCATTTTTCTTATCGTTTCGTTTATTGACAGCAGGCAATAGAAAGAAGTAAAAGCATGCAAGAAGTGGGTATTCCTCCGCGTCTGTTAAGCCAAGTAGGTTCAGTGATTCCCGTTCACCCACATCTCCATACGCACACGCATTCTGCCGAGACAGTTCACTTTTCTATGGGGCGTTGATTCGATGATATTTTAGATTTGTATCCTGTTATACGCCTAGGCCTCGTTCTATCATCATCCCTGGCGTTGTAGCTTACCTAAGACTGACTTTTCTGTTCGTAGGTCTTATTCTCCGGTCCCTTCTACCGTTAGGTGTCTCGGGGTTGACACACCTGTTCGATTCACATTCACAATGGCGTTGAAAAGGATCAACAAGGTTAGCCCGAAGTTTCATGTTGCTCTTGATGGTCTGTCAACCATGCCTAGGCTCTTTTGTAAACTTAAACATTGTAATTTAGTCAGCTCGTGCCTAGGCTATCCAACTCTTGAATATATCCAAGAGCTGACCTTACTCTTATGCCTTGATCTAGACAATCTAACGTTAGACAATAAACTTACCTTTATAGTACAATTTTTCTTTATCCGCTTGGTAATTCCATTGAAAGACACATCCAGAGTTGTCATCAGAAAACAGGACATCTTTTCTGCTAGTTGTTACATATGAATTCACATCACCTTAAACCTGGGCTCCATGAGGATTGTTTGAGCATTCCATTCACTTATGCAAGGTGATTATGAAGAAAGTAGCCCACTTCAGAGTGTTGTACCACCTAATCAATAAGGTATAGGATGGTGTCCAGGCACTCATTGGACAAGTGACACATGAGAATTTATTGCAGGACTTAGCCAATTGTTTCCTCTAGGGATGCAAACATTCCATTCCTGCAGCACTGACCTTATCTTGTCACTGGTGGCACCACCAAGGCATAATTTCTATTGCAGGCATGCCATTTTGGGTAGGAAAGCTTTATTCGCAGCCCACTCTACTGTTACAGTGATTATATATATTGATCTGTATCACAGTATCAGCTACAAATTTATGCAGTTTTTCTGATGACATTTCTGAGCAGTATAAAAATTATGTAATTTTAGCATCCCTGTGATGAGATTTGATCAGTATTGTTTCAGCCACTTGTAATGCCTATGCAATGGCATCATCTTATACTTTATAGGTGCAATATAATGCTTTTAATTCTTTTAATGCCAGAGCCAATTAGAGCGATGCTATGAATTTAATTGAAAAAGGCCAGTGTTGAAGAGCTAACAATTAAAGGGTTAAGAAATGTTAGTCCAAGCATTCGATTGTGTTCCTTCTCAAACTTTGGACATTTTAGTGCCAGCTCTTCGACTGGCATTTTGAAGTGATGTTTGTAGCATCACTGTAAGCAACCCTGGCTCTATAAGGGTTAAGCTGGATACTTACTTTGTATTCACCTTGTATATGTAAAATAAATTATGACAGCTATTGAACGGATGCCAAGTGATAAATTTTTAATGGACAGCATAGGCCTAGTTCCATGGACTAAAAATGATTATATCAGATACCTTAAGTTATTTTTATATTTTATAATTGCTTAACTCAATGTTCAATCTATTCAGGAACTTCAAGACCTCAACAGAGATCCTCCAGCTCAGTGCTCTGCAGGTCCAGTGGGAGATGATTGTAAGGCTCTTTTTTTGTCCTTTTTCTTTCTTGTCTTTAATATCTTGTATGGAATTTTTTAATGAGTTTATAAATCTAAATTTTGAAATATTTGTAGGCTCTGGATGGAATTACTTGTTTTGCAAGTATCATACTTGCTTTTCATTATGTAGCATTAAATGGATGTTTCCTTAAGGCTATCATTATGACATTTTTTGAAAATGCTGATGCATCAAACTTAACTATTAGTAATGCACTAGTGGCCTGCAACTGCTATGCTGGTTGTCTAATGGGCAGAAATATGAAAATGTCTATATAAATATATGAAGAAATTTGGTTCAAACCAAACACTAAAATTTCCAAACATACCTTGAGAAGTCTGAAAGTGTTGCCACCCAGCTAATTTTATTATCATACCAAAGTTTTTATGGCTTAGAATGGCAAAGCCTTGAAGACCTTGCGTGTTAGGCCACGGATGAGTGACAAGCATTCACCGCTGCTTTCAGCCTCTATCAATTTTTTATGGCTTAACCTATGGCCCAGAATGGCAGAGCCTTGTAGGCCTGGCACTTTAGGCCATGGATGGCCTAGAATAGCATAGTGTCATAGGCCTCGCATGTTTGGGGTGACAGCCACCACAATTTCTGGCCTTTTTCAATTATAGTATTAGATTGTTGCTTTGGTAAAATATGTAGCCACTGATGAACAGCATATTGAGTGAAGCGAGACTAGAAATTGCCCTGGAGAAGGTTGTCAGGCCAAGTGCCAAGTCCTGCATAGTTTGTGGTCTCATGCACAGATTGACTGAAAGCCTCTATAGGTGGATAAGGGTAGTGAAAATATCTCTTTGTGCTGCTATTGTATCATCACCAGGGGATGCCAGAGCTGAACTGGGCTAGACTGGCAATAAGTTCCACTTTTCAGTGAGACCTTCTTATGATCTTTTGAGACTGTTCAATTGCTGCTGGTAACCAAACTTGAGTTTGTGTATAAGCCACTGAATAGTCACTGCACAAACTGGAAACAACCCCTGGAGTCTAATTTTATACTCAATCAAAGAGACTGGAATCCTTCATTTGAGTGAAAGAAGAGGAGGGTACACTTAGTTGGTCATTGTACAGTCAGTCAACTACTATGAAAAACTGGAAAAACATTGGAATTCAGAGTTAAACGACAGTTATTTTTTACCATTTTTTCCCCCAAATGGGTAGTTGATAAGTTTCTGCTAGCTAAACTGGATAATTCATGTTCTTTGATAAGTTCTTTTGATTTTTACTGAACATTCCCACATACTTGCAAGAAATAATCCTGTTATGTATTGCTAGGAGAAAATGAGAACAAAAGTCTCTAGAAATTTTCTATTAATAATTTTTTAAACCTGGGCCATTGTGCATCTTCTGAGTGGAACCCGTCATGCAACCAAAGTTCCCTTCCCAGGTTGCTGTTGAATTTGTTTGCTCTGCTTGTATCGTGACATCCATTGTTTAAATGACATTGTATGAATGCCCTCAGTTTCCTTCTTGATGCCATGACTAGAGCATTCCAAGGTAAGCAGAGAATGGCCTTAACTTAAGCCAAGATCAATAAAATGAAATAAACATATATTAGCAGGGCATCATTTTTTTCAGGACTTTCCAGACACTGAGAAAGCTCTCTGAGCTTGGGTTGGGTTATTATTTTTTAAAGCTTTAGTTTTATTTTTAGGTGGCTCTTGAAAGTCATCTAAAAAGTTTAGAAAAATTTTTTAAATGTCTGTTTGGATAGAATTTTGACCTTTATGTAGTAAATGTAGATTTATACCCAATGTTTGTCATTATTGCATGTTGTTGGGGGGATGCATGGCTGTGTGCATACTGTTTGAAGACTAGTTTGTAAAGTCCTGCTCTACTTTTAGTTTCATAATGTGGAAAGAAGAGTGAAAGTAGAAGATGCTGGTATCAGCATACATCTGGGCATCATTATACCTGATTTGCCTTCATAGATCATTCACATGAACAAAGAATATTAATAGTCTCTGATTTGAATCTTAGGCCATAAGTTAAAGCCTATTCTTGGATGTACTTATCCATTGTTGCTAAGCTAATGGTGTTTACAACAAAGGAGAAAGCAATGAAACTTGAATGCTTCATAAAAGACTAATACTTATACCATGTATTATGTGACTTTTTTAAACACCCTCTAGTTACAAGTTCATATTCTGTTATTCTGGCTTATACCTAGATATTTTTTCATCCCTTCTTTTAGTGATTATTCACTTAAGAAGTGCCTATCTGCATGCTTATCTTTGTGGGGTTCATAGAACACTATGCAATCAGTCATTAGATTCAGAGTCTGTATGTTAATGTGGAACTGTTCTACTAAACTTTTTTACATCAGTTTTAGCAATTGCATGAATTTCTTGCAGAGTTTTGCTATGGTAGAAAGCATCAGTGTCATGAGCAAATGGTTTTGCATCTGACTGATAAAGCTCTTCTGAACTTCATTTTCAGTATAAGGAAAAGCATCCTGTAGTGTTTCCCTTCAATGAATTTCCAATATTTAAGCTTGTGTAGCATGCACACCCATGCAGTGTCCATATGGACACTGCCCTCCTGGAAATATGCATACGTGACTGTTGGAAGGTGCATGCTATGCCTGATGAGTTATTGGAATTTTCCTGCCCCACTGCTAATCACTGAGTAAATTAAGTTATTAAGCCTTTGAATTAAATGCTGGATGAAGTGCATTCTGTTCTAAAGATGTCTCATGAACCATTTATGTACAAAGTATAGTAAAAGAGACCAATAATTTAAAAACATAATAATTTTTTACCTATGCATTACTACCCTCTCTCTCTCTCTCGTGCTATTTTCACAAAACTTTTACTGTATATGTTCCTAGCAATGGTAAGATCCATAAAGTCTTTCTGCCAAAGCAAGACCATGAGCAAATATTCTGGAGACATCAAGTAGAAAATGGACAAGAAACTAGTGGTTCTTCTGAGTGACTAGACTCTGATCTGCCACCCTAAAGCAAGAGAAATTCCATAGGAATGTTAAGTAAATTCTCTGGATTGATTCGTGTTAATTCTTTTATCATTAATGTGGTAAAAACTGCAATACAACAATGTGCAAGAAAAAACCAACCCAAAGTATGACTTTCAGTGGAAGATAAGTTTTTTGTGCCTTGCCTTGAGCAAAAGTTCAAAGGCATGGCTACCAGCCCAAGCTCTTATCAATTTTCAATACCCTCCATCTTTCTCACTTGTCTCCTGAAACTTGTAACCTGAAAATGTGTTCAAAACATCCAAAAGTTCTCTCTTATAGTTCTCTGCTTATTTCGTAGGACATCTATGGTTTTCCAGCAAATGGGAAATTGTCTAACTATGAAATAATTATTATGACTTTGAGATTGGGAGGGTCCTCTACTGTATGCATTATTTGTGACTAACACATGCATTGCTTAGAAATCACCAAGAGGTTGAGTTGAAAAAAAAGTTTTTCTGTGAAATTGACATTAATTTGTCCACATCTATACAAATCCCCTGTAATTGTTGATTGAATACATTTTATTGCCTTCCTCTTTTACAGTGTTTCACTGGCAGGCTACAATCATGGGGCCAGTAAGTCAAATTCTCTTTCTGTGGTATTAGGTTATATTCAGTATTAGGTTAGTCAACTTTTCTTTTTCTTAAGAAAGGCTTGCCTTGTTTTAGAGTATTTTTAAAAATAAAACTTTTTTACTTTGGAAATTTAAATTTAAACTTACACAAAATCATTTCTTAGCCTTATGACTAAGATGCAAATTGAAATCTAAGGCTGAACATTGTTCATGCACAAATAATCATTGTTGCTATGAAATTAAAAGGTTTTGATGTCTTTACTGTACTTTTTTTTTTGCAGCCTGACAGTCCATACCAAGGTGGAGTGTTTTTCCTCACTATACATTTCCCCACTGATTATCCATTCAAGCCACCAAAGGTGAGAGCTTCATTAGCTCAGACCTCATTCAACAATTATGCTCCTGTAACATAATTTATTATACTTGCTGCCATATGCAGTCAGTTTTTAGAGTCTGGAATTTTACCCCATCAACTTGACCTCCTGATTAGAGCTTTGGTTGGATTTTTTCCTCGTGCAGGTAGCATTCACAACAAGGATATATCATCCTAACATCAATAGCAATGGGAGTATTTGCTTGGACATTCTTCGTTCTCAGTGGTCTCCTGCCCTCACTATCTCCAAAGGTCAGTTCTAAACTATCCTTTAATCCTGCTTCACAAAATCATGCAGGGGCTTTCATTCACAGCTGAAATAGAATATGAATTTAAATTGCTTGATGGGGCATTCAGTTACCTTATCTTCATTTTCATATTGCAAAGCATCTTGTGTTGCATTTAATGATTTACTTTTAGGAAGTAATGTAGCAGGTGATTCAGTGAGGTTGTAGATACCTCCAAGTGACTCTGTTGATGTCACAGCCTAAGCATGTCCTGTTGTGCTGCATGTCAGAAAGGTATAGGGGTCAAATTGACAGACTGAAATTTCCTTTCATACCTCTGATACCATGTTTTGAGTTTATTTGCAAGTTTAAATTAGAGCTAACTAGTTCTGTGCATAATTCATAAGGCATATTAAATTAATAGCTGTCATCGAGTAGCTTCCCCAGTGATCTGAAACAATCTAGTGGAGGTGTCATTCTGCCTTGAACAACCCCTGGGTTTTGAGTTACATTTTCTATACAGATCATGAAAAACAAAAATTCCAAAGGAAGCCTTATGAGCATTATTGAATAGGACTGCATAACTTATACTATTCCAATTCTAAAAAAAAAATTGATTTAAAAATGATATGTAACACATATTGCCACATTATGTGACAAATACTGTTCATGATGGAAGCATGACTGCATCCATGTCCCTTGACTTTATTTGATGGCATCATGTATGGTTCTCTGGATTTATATCTCACCCATTTTTTGTTCCTGATGCCTATCCACAACCAAGAACTTAGGAAATGTTTCAGGAATTTCTTTCTTCCTTATAGAAAATATAATTTTCATACTGGTGTCACTTTAACACATTCACTGCCAGGGATTTAAAAGAAAGAAAATTTTCAACATGCCTTTAGTAATGTTTGAGGTATCTTCTATGCAACCCTTGTAGGTAAGAAGATATTTGAATGACATCTCTTGAAGAAATAAGTAACTATTAGGAAGATGGCGTGAAAACAGCTAAGTCTTGTATGGCAGTGAATGTGTTAATTTTTAACCCAGATATGCCTGGATTTCTATATGTTGTATGCAAGTTGAACTTGCATAAAATATAGAGTGCAAGTTGAACCTGTCCAATTTTCCACATGCATGTTAACTTGCACTATTTTTTTCTTTTGCTAGATAACCTACACAATAGACTTTTGTGCAAGTTCAGGAGGGATATCTAGCCCCCTAAGGATGTAAAGATAGATTATTTCTATTGAGAATACAGGCAGGATGCCTGGCTTTGGGAAAATGATAAAGGGGATGTCATCATTCTGCTTTTACTGACAGCCTTATTCTCTCACCTTGTTCAGTGCAATATGAGTGAGAGTGGACATTCTTGTTCAACAGCTCTAATGGTTTTTGTCTGATTAGTTACCTTCAAATCTGTGATAATGGGCACGAAAGCCCAGTTCAATGATTATACCCAATGCAAATTTCAATGCTATCAGTCATTCATAGACATGTTCCAACAAATTAATGGAATTCAAAAAAGTTGTACTTGACAGAAAGGCATGAATGCTGGCATTGACAAAGTTGATACAGATTCTTTAATTATGAGCAATTCAATGTCTAGCCGAAGGCATATGATCATTATTCTGGTCAAGATGAAGTGCTTCTCTGAACTTGCATGAAAATGTGTAATCCACATTAACAAGGACTTGCCCATGCAAGTTTAACCTGCATGCTGTGATGCACTGTTTCATTTAACCCAGGACAATTTGGCTGTGCAAATTCAGCTTGCACAATTAATTACCATGCAAATTTAACTTGCACAGCATGGTCAACTTGCATACGACATATATATAGGAAAGTGTGAAGATATGCACACTATGAACTTCTGACATGTCTTAGTTGTTTGAATAGACACAGCTTAAGCATTTGCTAGCCACAGACTGAACTATTTCTTTGTTGTATGCCACTAGTGCCATCTGTTGATTGACAATGAACTATGGTAGAGAACTTTTCATGCACATCTCTGCATGTCATCATACCTATAGAATGTCAGGCATATCTAGGTTGAATTGCCCTCTTGCTGATGACACTACAAGCTAACTGCTTACGAAACTAAAAAGTAACACTCTACTGACAAACATTTCCTATTGATCTTACATCAAACACAGGGAAAGAAAGTTTTTAGTTTCTTTAAAATATTCATGGTTATTTTCACAAAAATATGCAAATGCTATTAAAGATAGTGTACATATAAAGGAAATTTGTATTTTTTGTTAATTTGTTGGAAGTCAACATCTTGAATCATTTTGAGCCTGTGGGATATTGTTATGCTTGTCAGGTAAACAAAATTTTAGTGCTGAAGAGTGACACTACAACTTCTTCTTGCTTAATAAAAGCATCCAAACTTGTAGACCAGTGGTTCCCAAACTGGGTCACGAGAGGCATCAAGGTGGGTCGTGTACATTTTCCCAGAATAAAAAATCACCATTTTCATATTCCGCTCAGGATAAAACATGCCCCGCAGAAAAGGTAGATAATTTTTCTTCATGTCATGATTACTTTGAAAATACCTCGTTCTGAATTCCGGTGGGTCGTGAAATTTTCTGAACATCAGCAAGTGGGTTGCAATTCAATGAAGTCTGGGAACCGCTGAAGTAGACCATGATGTAGTATGACAAATCAGAAACACCTCTTATGCACCTGCTTGAGCTAGCACCTCTTGGTTAGAAAGAGTTTCATTTTTTGTGCTAGAGCTATTACTTTAGATTATATTTTGCCAAGTTGTGAATTCCTGTCTGTATTATTGCAGTTCTACTCTCCATCTGCTCATTGCTATGTGATCCGAACCCAGATGACCCATTGGTCCCTGAGATAGCCCGCATCTACAAAACGGACAAACAGAAGTACAATGAGCTGGCTCGGGAATGGACTCGCAAGTACGCCATGTGATGAAGACCACCCTATCCTATCCTGTCATCCCCTCCCTCCCAGTTGCCCATTGCCCTATCTCCCTTCCTCCTCACTTCCCATCCAATCCTTCCTTCCCTCTTCATATTTTCAATTTCTTTCTCTCTCTCCATTTGCTCATTGCCTTTTGTTTCATTTCCCACTTTCATGTTTCATCCGTGAGCCTCTCCAGAATCTGCCTCTATCTGGTTTGCTTGAATAGATGTGAAAAAAGAAACACTTGTGAAAGCTGTCTTGGGTCTCTGTAAGTTGAATGAGGATTTGTCCCGGTTGAACAATTTATAAACCCATCTTTCATCCTTTTTTTTTTAATTATCTTTGGTGATAGTAAAGTGAGAGTTGCCATCACATGAGTTTTTTGACACTTGGCCCTTTCAGCAGGCAGACGAGAGAAACCAAGACAATAGTAAAATTTGATTTAAAAAAAAAAAGAGAGAGAAAGAAATTCAGGCTAGCTGGAATGCAATTTCTGATGAGGGTTTGATATAGTGGAGTAAAGAGAAATCTGCCTCTCAGTCTCTTTCGATGTCATTGCAAGATTTGTACAATTTCCATTCATTGATTCACATGTGAATACTATCCTGAGGACATCTGTGTGTTTTCCTCTCTCAGGACTAATTCTCATCACTCCAGCTATCCATGTCCTCATCTTACCTTAGTGAATTCAAAGCAAATCTTGCCTGGAGAATTTCAATTCTCCTCTTTAATCACATGTTGAGTAATTTTTCCTTGCTGAGCCTGACAAGTAACATACTACTTCATATTATAATTATCACATGATGTTCCACAGGAGGAAAAATTGTACTGGTAATGAGTTCCTTGGTAAATACATACCTTAAAGATAAGGCTCCATGTTTGTCAAGTGAAGGTTGTCTAAAGGCATAATAGCCAATTTAAGGATTAAAGGTTCTGTCAGTCTGTCACTGGTTGCATTGCCATTATCAATCTGCCTCCAATGTGACTTTAACCCTTTCAAACCCTGTGTCCACTCAAATCAGCACCTCATTTCATATATTTCTCTCATGCTTGCTTATGATTCTCAGGATGTTGCATCTCATAATCCATGACAGTGGACACTATTCTGCATGACTGAAATCTGTAGGAAAGCCCTCTGGCTTAAGGTTGAATTATTATTGCAGATGTTTCTTTACAATTGTGACTTAAATTCATGGGTTAATGCAATTGTGTACACAATGTAGTCTCTGAATGGTGACCTATGACGTCTGCGTTGAGATGTTCAGTCAGATTATTTTGAATTTGTATTTCAATGCAGTCCATATCAAGAATGATATGACAGGTGGGCAGAGAATTCTCTTGTATGGTAGATGAAAACTTGGCATTACGTGTTCCACTATTTGAAAAACACATGGCACAGTTCAGACAGGGTTCAAGAGGAGACTATGAGCAAAAAATCACTATACATATTGCATACAATTACCATTTCTCAAATTACTCCTATAATATTGGTGCCAGAGACCTGAAATTTGGTTGATTTTTTTGCTTGTGGCTTGGGAAATGCCAGATGTGCTAATATTATAGGTCTTTCAAGAATATCTCAAACCTCTGGAGCTTGGTGTAAAAATTATGTTGCAAAAAGATCTTTGGAATACACGTTTTTCAATGGTACCAACAATTTTTTACTTTCTGCAAAGCATCTCAGTTTTTATTTTTTTATTCATAGTCTCCCCTTAAGTAGAGCAAGGAGGGATCCATTATATATATATATATTTTTATGACAGTACTGAGTAACACCGGGAAATCCACGCACACGCTGGAGCTCGTCACAAGTGGAATTCTTATAATCCTTAACCCAATGGCGGCTCGTGAAGGAAAAGTCTGGGGAGGAAAGCTCATGATCTTTATAATGAACAAGAATTCATTGTATTAATGGGGGCATGAAACACGAAAGGTGTGCTTAGGTCAGTCGCTGATCGAGGAATCGTTTTATATGTAGAGTTTATATTGTTTCGAAATCGTGCATAAGCAGAGCGGAAATTGAAACTTCATTGAACACTTGAGTGAGAAGAGGCGCATCCGGCACGAGGATAGAAGTAATGGTTGACGACTTTGTCCCTTCGCACAACTAAGCTAAATTGCACCTAGCGAATACCATAATTATGTATAACTTGTCTTTTTCATCCATGGCAATTGCATAGACGTCAATTGGCAATGCGAATGTGGATTACCGATAAGCTCTCTAAAAGTACATGGGCGCTCATTTGGGTGCAAAAAGGGATTCCACAGCTCTGTTCGCTTTGAAACCCCCCCCCCAAAAAAAATTCGGGCGACCGAAGCTCCAAAGTTTGGCCAGAGCCCATATAAGTTGCCTTGCCCAGAAGAGTGTCGTCCTCAGTAGTTTCTGGAGCGTAAGTTGGAAAGTTTCCTTATGAAGAATGCAACTTTCATAGCCCAAGGTTGATGAAGAGAATTGCAACTGGAGGGAAAGATACATGAAGCTGGAAGAGTTTCTTCACGCAAAGAGCAGACAGAATCCAGAGCATCCCAGTCAATGGTATGGGAAACCTATAAGGCAACACTAACACTGAAGCTGATGTAGAGCCTCAAACATTGTTCTACGGGTTTGAACGATCTCGCTTTCCCATTAGAATTCACAATACGTGTCGCAGCTTCATTTACACAAATGTAAAAGCGATATGCAGTCCAGTGCCTTCTTGTAGCTGCATAGGTTGTAAGCTGCATTATGATAATAGAGCAACCCAAGGTCAGTAAGGCCGTGATCTTTATGGGCATGAATGTGACAATGCAAAGCTTCTAGAGTGATATACAATTCACAACTTTTCGCATTGGCTTCATCCTTCCCTTTGCATGCGCATTATAAATAGCCTCCAAATAAACATATACATCGAAAGTGACGTCTATGCGACGTTACTGCAACGTCTTTTAGCTCAAGTCACGTTGCAACAACGTTGCATGAACGTCACGTGTTGCTTGGGCCATTGAATGCTTTACGAATTAATCTGCAAATCGTTGACGTGATACTGAATGAAGAATGCATGAAGTGGAAGTGTAAATCTCAGGGAGAGCCAAACAGTCTGTGCAAAAGCTTTGCGAGGAGGGTCGAAACCTCCCCCCTCCCTCCATTTTGCCCTACAGTGATTTTCCATATACTGGTTGCACCTCCTCTGCTTTGACGGAAGCGGGAAGTACTTAGTTCTGACTTCAGTCATCAACTTAGCAAAGGGTAATTATTTTGAGACCGCAGAATTCGCTCAAATCTCATTATATGTAGTCCCATTTAGGAGGGAGCTGGGGGAGTGCAATCAATCGAAAATCATCGTAATTGTATGCACTGCAAGTCAGCGTAACCCAAAGGAGTGCCTCCCCCATCAGTGTAGCATCATTGAGGCTTTTCAGAAAAAAAAACCAATAGTAAGTAGGAAAGGACGCATTAAATGCTTGAGAACAGTGTCTTTGGGTTCCTCTGTTCTCCCACTTTTGTCCACGCTTCGCTTATGGCCTATGACTTCAGCAGACCAATCTTTTTCTCCCTAACTCGCTCTGCTGCCCCCCCTCCCCCTCGCGCTGCCCACATCAGTAAAATAGTAAATGGCCTCACAGCTTTCACTGCAGTCACCCCCAATTGAAAATATCAAACAAATGAGACACTTAATAAACTTCAGCCCACCTATGATGAGACTGGTGAATTACGCCCCTAAATCTTTTGGGATGTCATTTCACACATTCTCACTTTTCTTTTATATCGAAGGACTTTCCACTTTTGGGTTGCAGTATTCTGGTTGTGCTGCATCAGCACGAAATGGGATGCTCAAGGCCATCGACCACAAAGCAATTCTCGCATGATGAAAAATTCGACGGGTGGTGAGTGGATCTTTCCCGATGTTTCACTGTGAAAACAGAGAATACATTTTTGGGACATTACGAGATTTGGGGCTTGAAGGGCAAGTTTCAGCTGAATGTATCGGTCGAGTCAGTGGGGAACAGGGCGGGGGAAAGTGGGCTTGTCTTCGAGACGAGGAAAGGGATTTGGCAACACCGCACCGCAGGTTCTCCTGTCCTCGCCGTGTCGCCGATTTCCGTCACGCGGATTTCTTTCTCGTCGTTTAACGTGACGGGGTTTATCTCCTCTTACGCCGTTACGTTCATGTTCCCAAGGATTCCCTCATATTCTTCTTGCCTCTAGTCATCTAGCTGTTCTCAAAGTACCCTCTGGGACCTGAAGATGACGCACGTTACTCCTGGAGTGAACAGCGGGTCTGCTTGGTGTTATTGTCACCATCTAAGTCTCGCATCTGTGCACAGTGAACGATCTTGCTAAGGAAAATTTTCATAGGCCTAGTTTTGTTGCAAGGCCAAAACTACTCATAAAGTGAACTATAGCAAAGATGAGTCAAGCCATATTAATCTCCAGATGAATCAGGCTTTCTTGCATGAAAGTTAGAGGTTAGGCCCACACGGTCACCAACTTTTTCCTGCTATTATTATTCCTCCACTTTTTCAGATAACTTTAATACCTCACTCCAGGAACCAAGGGGGATGGCCACCCCTTTCCCCTCTAAAATGTAGTAGTGCTCCTGTTATGATATGATCCTTCATCAGAATCATCTCTAACATAAGATATTAAATCCATCATTCTTAACTGCATATGCACTTTTTTCAGTTCATACAATTTTTTCAGCTGCTTTTTCATCAATTATAACTATCAAGCAACTCTATGGATGACTTTCCCACCTGCACACATTCTAAATTTATTGTTATCATTTCATTTGTGCCTGAAATCTGTGTTTTCATCTATAATAATTCCCAAGGCAGGGAATGCCAGAGCTGCTTTTTCTGATTTATCATGAACAGTACACATGGACTGATGTAATTCTTTCATGGACTCACGATGATTGTATGTTCCCCCATATCAGCTTTGTATAACAAAGAGGGGGGGGGGGGGGGGGGGGGGAGGACTAGTGAAAACTTGTGCCCATAAAATTTAGTGATTAACAAAATTATGGGAATTATGAACCTTCTTATCAGATATGGATAAGCTCACTTTAGAATGCTCAAAGTTAAAGTTCATAGGCATAGCATTTGTACCAGAGACAGCTGAGGGAATGAGGTTTTCCATGGAATGGTTCTCATTTTTTCCAAAAACCCTCTTAATCCTGGGGATGAGAATACCTCAATACTCTTGCTCTTACTGCATAACTTTGGAATGCAACCACCTTCCCTTTGGTAGTTGCTATAGTTCTGCGTCTGCAGAATTTATTGGCCTCAGCCTCTAAGGTCAATGCTGAAAGCCTATCCTCATGGTTGACTTTGCACTGATGAACTATACATATTGAGGATGTTCTGAAGAGTAGACCCACGTCTGTGAATGACTTTTAAGTAAGGAAAGCCATGTAATGCCTAGCCTATGTAAACCTGTCTCTATACAAGGTGATTGAAAAGTTACTCCTTATGTTGAAAATTTATTGCACTGCAAGGTACAAGTTTCCATCCTTATTGGAGCAAAAGTTACAAATTAAGAAGAGTGAATTTCCAATCACCCTGCAGATTTAATTGTAGGACTAGTTATATTAATGCTTATATAAGCCTACAGCTTTACTATTCACTGAAAAGAGTAAAAAAAAAAGACCTTTTCTTTTCAGATTCTCTCACTGAATGGGAGCTGCATAAAATATCCCCAATAGGGACAAGAGGTATTGCTTATTAGTAAGAAGAGGGAAGGGAAAGGCAAGAAGCCAGGCGTGTTAAATGCTCACAACGTGACCCTTGAAACTTCTCTATTAGGTGAACACTCCTTTTTCGTTTCGATATTGAAGGCTTATATGCACAGCAATGGTGATGGAAACGCCTAGCCCCCAGAGTGTTGGCTTGGAATTTGTGAGACAGTATTATACTGTACTCAATAAGTCCCCCATGCACCTTCATCGGTAAGTGCAAAGCCCCTCAGAATATTTCTGTGCTGCTTCATCCATATGTCATGTGTACAATTTTCTCTTTATAGGTTTTACAGCCATGAGTCCAGCTTTGTGCATGGGGGATTAGACACCTCAGAGAAGGTGTTGAAGCCTGTCTTTGGCCAGCAGGACATTCATCGCAAGATCCTTTCTTTGGAATTCCGAGACTGCCATGCAAAGATCCGGCAAGTGGATGCTCATGCCACCTTGAGCAATGGAGTGGTCATCATGGTAGGCCCATGTTATATAAATTCCATGGTCCTTGTGGGACAATTAACATTTTTATTCTTGTAATGCAGGTCAGTGGAGAATTATCCAACAAAGGTCAGCCCATGCGACGTTTCATGCAGACTTTTGTGCTTGCACCACAATCCCCTCGCAAGTACTATGTCCATAATGACATCTTTCGATATCAGGTATGGAGGACTGGAATTACCATGATTTTTGTGCTTTATTAAGAGGCTATCCCTATTACATGTGATCTTAATCTTATGTTTCAGGATGAGGTTTTTGAAGATGAGGAAGGAGGAGAAGAGGGAGCAGATGAAATAGAGGCAGAAGGAGCTCCTCCTCCACCTCCTCTTGCCGAACATCATCCCCAGGTCTTGTTTCATCTTATTGCCTCATCTGCTTTCAGTATTCTATGGTCACTTTTTCTAATGATCCACCTCGAGTAACAACCAATATTGGTACTCTTGAAGGGTGCTCTAATAGCTAGTTAAGGTTCAAAGAAGGATGTTGATGGGAGGAAGCTGGGTCTCTTTCCTCTTCGTGTTTCACCCATGGATGCTTGAACAAGTGGATTTTTGTTGAGCTGTAAGTTATGTATTTTCTGAGGGGAAAATTCGAAGTATAGTTCAATCTGCATCTCATTAATTTCTTTTTCATAGCTAATCTTCAGAAATAACCAGTTATACATGCAAACTTTATCTTTCTAAATGTACAATATAGCTACTTTTTTGTTGCAAATCTTTATTTTGGAACTGTATCCTCAGAGAATTGGGAAATTTAGTTTCATATTGACCTTCACATATATATTAAATCAGGTTACTTTATATAATTGTTCATATTAGACACTTTTACATGTGTCATGGGCTACATCATAAGGTTCTTGACCAGAACAGGTACATGGACTAAGTCTTCAACCTGATTGCATCTGTAAATACTTTTACTTGACATTATCAACATAGATCATCATGCATCATGTTATTGAATGTCTGACTAATGGTTATGAGTAGAACCAAATTTACTGACAACACAGCTTAGACTGCAGGTTTGGATCCCTTACCTTTCTCTGTTCTGTTTGATTTGGTTCAACACTTTGAGAATGGATTCTAGGCAACAGTAGGTTGACCAACTGTCTCGCATTCTGTGGGACAATTCTGAATTTTGAGTGTATGTCTTGTGTTCTGCAAAAAAAGTTTTGCTCTTCAGTTTTGTCCTAGCACCTGCTCCCTCCCTGTCAGCCTCATGTATCCCACATTCTATTCTCTCCAACTTAGGCACTCTAGTCTGAGATAGCAATAATTGCCATTTTTGATGGGGAGCCTTTCCCCTTAGGATTCTTGTTGCGGTTGGAGGGGGTAGTAGCAGGTAGATATGCTTCTACTAAAATATCCTATCTTCAGAAGGGGTAGGCCTATGTTATATGTGAGTGTTTGACCTTGAAATGGATGATGAAGAAACTTCTTTTGAAGTGCTTAGGAATGTGGACTATTTTGATATGGAAAAGGAATTACTTATTTCTATTCATTAAACTTATTGACTAGAGGTGTGAGAGGTGGAGGGGGAATCCTACAACCCTGAAAATGTGACCATGTCTCTAAACATGTCATGTGGCTATTCTCTCTGATATTTCCTGTAACCTAGTGGATGAATGAGGTCATTAAGGGGATTAGCTTTCCCATTGCTATCATGTGCTTCTTGAAAGTTTTTTTTTTCCCAATACATGTGCTACAGGCACACTACCCTCATATGATTGGAGTCATCATGATCTCTTAGATCCCCTCCAATATAAGTTAAAAGTTAATATTCCAAACACCATTAAATATTCTTTTGTATGATGAGGTGTGCCCTTGCTTGAATAATGTGTGGTATAAGTGTGGTTGTAGGAAAACTTTTCTTGCATGAATCATGTCTTGAGAAAACTTCTATGGGACTATGTTCTAGTAGTTCTCATAGTTCTGGTTTTTTTTACCCACCCTCTATTAAGCATTTAATTTTTCACTTATTTCTTGATTGAAATTGCAAACTGACCTTTTCTCAGTTTTCCCTCCATGCTTTAGTTGATTCATCTATTGCTTTTGATGTACATTTACATAATGAAAATCAAATCTCAAACTTAAGGTGTTGGTAAAAGTTACAAATCATGGTGTTGCCTATTCCTATTTGCCACAACTCAATACTTGTATGGTATTCCATACTTCCTTTCAAAAATAGAATTTCTGATACAGTAAAATTTCTTCTAACCTTGAGCCATGAATTGTTGCCAACCTTCAGAATACATACTAGCAAAAAGCTGTTTCCCTAACAGGTGGTGACGATGAATGGAACTGGATCTCCATCTCCACATCCACCGGGGATGAAGACAGTGGATGACATACGAAGTGGGTCGGCTATAACAGGGACAGGGAATCCTCAAGGTGCCCTCCCACCCCGTGGTGGGCCAACTTATTCTGCCCCAGCCCAAGTGGTACCAATGACACAAGAAACAGCTCCAGCCCCTATTCCTTCAACAGCTTCAGCTGCACAAGTGGAAGATGCAGCCAAGGAAGAGACTGGGATGACTCGTTGGAGTGATACAATGGAAGAAGAGAACTCTGTTTCTGATCATGCAGATCCACATCCTTCAAACAAGTCCCCTGAGCCCCCTCATGATGAACAAGAAGACTCTCATCCACCTGTATCTGAACCTCAAGGTTTGTTTTCAAGTTCCTCTTTCATCCCTTAGTGATTATGTAATTTATTTGTATTTGTAAATTTTTAAATTACATAGACTTAGAATAAGGTGTATGTTTGCCCTTGAATTTGCTGTGTAAATGTAAAATGTGGTTAAGATAAGGAAGTCACTGGAGAGGTCAAGGTTTACACTAGTGCTTTAACCCTTTCCTTGGCAGATAGAAATTTAAATCTCCAACCTCCTTCTGGAGACATCAGTGGAGGAGGCATTGGTGTCTCCTGGACATGAAAAGATGTCAGTGTCAGGGAAAGGGTTAATTATGCCCTTTGACAACTGTCCACCATAGTTGCTATAGAGGGGAATTGTGTTTCTAGTATAACATGCAGGATGTGCATATCTCAGAAGTCATGAATCAGCTGCAAAAGCCCTTTGATCCTGTCTCTCCTATTTTCTCATGGGACCTTTAAAAGGAATTGAAACGCATTGATAGAGTCTCTTTGTCTATTTTCCAACAAGTTTTCAATCTAGTTATGAGCAAGAAGGACTCTTGTTTCACTCATAAGGGAGCTAATTCATTGACATGGTTGGCATCTCCTGATTTACTTGACCCAGGTTAGGAAAACCCTTGCCAACCTGTGAACGAGGTTCGCAGGAACAGAGACATGCAGGTGGGTGGGGGCTGACCCAGTCTGCTTACATGTCCTTCCTGGGAAATTCTGATTTGTTGCCTCAGGTTTATGAGGGGGAAATATATTTTTCCTATGCTGATTTGACCAAACTTATTCTATCCCTCTGCATGAGGAGTCACCAGGAATCATCAGAGATATATTCACAGAAATGAGTGTCTCCATGCCTCCAGTCTCTTCTTTATGTTCTACCATCCTGTATTTCTTTCTCTGAGAACTAGCCACTTTTGTCTGTGCTACTTTCAAATAGTTGATAGCAAATCAAAAGGGAAAAAATCTCAAGGCCTATTCCTGGCTTTTCCCCCCTTCTCCTTTCTAAGGCTGGATGCTCTGTGAGCATCCTAAAATCCAAATTGATAACATGTGATCATTAGTAGATGATCCTCATTACAAAGTACAAAAGGCAGAATGACACTTCCCAGCATCTAGGATCCCTTGCTTCATGCTATGCTACTTCTCAAGCCAGAATTACCATGCTTTGATTTCCTTATAGAGTATTCTTTCAGAATATCATCATGCTTGCTGTTGACATTGACTTGGTCTTCAGTAGGACAATTTACTTTCAGAGTCCAAGGCAGTTCCTAGGAATACTATTTTCTCATTTCATTTAGCACTAAGAAATGGGACTGAAAAGGAATGGAATTATTGTTGCTACAAAAAGAGTACTTGAATACCTACAAGTTAGAGTACTGGCACAACACAATGCACGTGAAGGTATAATTGTTTTTATGGTGCAGCATTATATGGATCAGAGGTTTGTACTAATTCAGTGTATTATAGGCACTCTTGTGGTGATTGTTGTGGACATACTGCTTTATTCCATTGCTCCCTTACATCCATCAGCATCCTTCTCCAATATTGTGTCCTGTCTGGGGGAATTGAGCAGGAGTTCCAGTTCCTCCCCAGATCCAAATTCTGGATGCCCTGCTACAATTACTATTGAACACTTCAGTCTGTCTTTTTGTGTGCTAATTCTGTTCATGCTTCACTATAATGCTGTTCTAACATCCATTACAACATGGAGATATGAATCTAGACCTCTTTAACTTGTAAATTTCATGGGATGGCTTGAAATGTACTTACTCCTGGTAACATCACAATAACAGTGCTGCCATGATGATGTAATTTGCGCCAGAGACTCCACAAGGTTGGGCAAATTGCCTGTTGCCTGTGAATAACCTTGGGATTCTGTGTTGAGGTCACTATTCTGAGCTGCCTTTGATTGCTACAGTTACTGGCATTGCCATACTATCTGTGATGGGTGTTATTACTTGAGAAAGTGCTTTTGTTTTCTCCTAAACAGCTCATGCCCAGGAGCCAAAGACCTATGCAAACTTATTCAAGGGAGCATCCTCTGGGGGTAACAGCAGTGGATTTGGAGGAGGAACAGGAACAAGTGGATCAGGGGCAGTCCCCAGTGGACCTCCTTCACAGGGACAGACAAGTTATCGTTCAGAGAAAGATGGTGGACGTGGTGGCCCAGGTCCAGGACCTAGGGGCACTGGGCCTACAGGACGAGGGATGGGATCTCCTCCCTCTCAGGTTCATCCCAGGAATGACACTCGACCTCCTCCAACTTCTACAACTGGATCCCGGTTTCATGATGATGGTTTGTTGCTGTATTTTACTTATAATAGACAATACTCAATCATATGACTGGACTTGAAATGGATTGACCCTCCAACCTAATGGTTGCATTTTTTATTCTCAAAGGATGATGGCTGAACACCCCTATTTCCACCCATTCCTGCTTACTTTTGCTATTGTTTCTATTGTTTATTATTAACTGGTTTGTTATTAACTGGTTCTTGTACCTTAGAGCATCTCATCATATAGAACTGTCTCATTAGTTTATTTTAAAGCAGATAAGCATGTAAGCAAGTTAACTCATCATCCATGCTATCCATTTCCTTGCCTGGGAGAATTTTGATTAGTGCCAGATTACACCCAGAATGATACAATGTAATAAAATAATTACCAGCTGCAAGAGGATCAAGAACCCTTTGCTCTGGAACCCTGGCTAACCACCTCTTCCATCTCGGCCCCATCTCACATTTACCTTACCTAAGACCCAAATAACCTCTAACCTTGGGAGACTTAATTTGGCAGTTTTGGTTACTCAGGTTCATAACCATGGATTTTTTTTGCATTCCACATCTGGAGACAGGAGTGCTAAGTGGTCATGTGTCTTGGGGTGTGAATAGAATCTTGATTTAAGATTCATCCATTGCTTTAACCAGTACCAATTTTGCTTTTTATTTAAATTTGGTATGGTGATAGTGCTAATGTTGCAAATATGGAGATTATCCTAAGCCCTGTGTTGATTGCTCACAAAGGGTGAAATTCTAGTACATCTTTTGATACCCAAAATATAAAAAAGGCAAATGTAGGAGCATTGCATCTTCCACCTCTGCAAATTGCCTCGATTGCTGGATGTAACTCTAATTGAGTTAACTTTTGGATTACTTCCTTTTCCTTGTGGATTGCAGACCTAGAACTATGGGAAAGTTAATTTGCTCTTCATGATTGACAAGACCTTTTTACTTTGAAGATTGCCAAAGAGTTATCCATTTAATCATTGATGGTTGCAATTGTAATGCTATCGGTTTGTTTTGTATTTGATGCAGGTGGGACTGGGAATGGGACAGGAGCAGGAGGTTCAGATGGTTACACAATGGGACCTCGACGACCCAATCTCACTCTGAATCATCCTGACGCCCAGCAACTCTTTGTTGGCAACATCCCTTACAGTCTTGGTGAAGAACAGCTGAAAGAGTTCTTTGAGGGGTATGGCCATGTCTTGGAATTACGTGTCAATCGGAAACCTGGTTCCCTTGGAGACCGTGGTGGACGAGGTGGAGGATACTCTGACCGGACCACACCCAACTATGGCTTTGTCGTCTTTGAGGATGCTGAGGTTGTCAAGGCTATCCTTCAGAAGAAAGTGAGAGCCACCAACATCCTTGCTCCTATAGATCTGATGGACTCAAAACTGTTCTACTTGACTTTTTTTTCCTGCATTAACTAGATATTTTTGAAGCCTAAAAACTCATTGCTACGAAGGGGTGTCTAAGAGCTGCAACTCAAAATTCTTAATGTACAGGGTGGGAACAAAAAATGTTTCACATTTCATTGACCTATATTTTCATTATTTATGGATGGGAGCCTTCAGGGTTGTTAGGGACCACAATAAAAACCTAATGCCTAATCTGTTTGCTGTTTTTTTTCCCCCTCCCCCCAGATTAAACAGCCCCATTAAATCCAGCAATAAGAATAGTGTTGTTTGATAAGCCAGAAAGGTCTGCTTTTTTACTGCTAGTTTTTATGGAATTTTATTTAAGGAAAGGTGTTCTCCACAAATCTATGCATTATTGATAGACTCAAATGTTCTGTGGTTACAGCATTCAGAGGTATAACGCACAAGACACTGGACAATTGTTATTGAAAGCACTGCTGTATGCTATAAAGTGATTATCCAAAGGAGTGAACAGTTTGAACATAGACAAACTCAAGAAGTTTATTTATCGTGTGACATGTAATTTAATTTTCTACTTTAATAATAAAAAAATGAAAATATAGGTCAATGAAATGTGAAACAATTTTTGTTGCCACTCTGTATATATGGATGTCAAGAATTTATTGGGGGTATTAAAGAAAAAGGACTGCTTTTTGGCTTAATCATAAAAGGAGGTGGGAATGCACAATTTGGTTTGCTTTTTCAGTTGTCTAAGTTGTCTTTCTAGGGTGGTTGTGCCTTATTTGAGTGGTATATATAATCAGACAGTGAGTCATTATGGGGCATGAGTATTTTAATAGCAGTGGAAAAGAATGTCTCATTTGAAGTGCAGCAAGAATGTGTAGTTGAATTTTTGCATTTATCTTCAAAAAACCTGTACAGAATCTGCAGATATAAAAAAATTGCATAAGTTCCATTCTGAAAGTGGCCTGTGGCAAATTGGTCGTGATTCATGCTCTAGGATCTTGTCAATATAAGAAAGAAGAAAACAATTAAGCATTTGTGTACTGTTGAAAGAAGTTCATAGACTAATGCCTGGTTTAGCTACCTGATACATCATTAGTTGACTACCATGTGCTTCATGAACTCAAGTCAATTTTTCTGTCAGCAGTGCATAAATGGTTGCTTCGTCAACACCTTTCCAGAACATGGATCTTGTCTGGTCCTTTTGGAAATATGTTTTTACTTATTGAAACTGTAGACTCCAAAGTCTTTTTTCCTTGTTGAGCACATATTTCAATTACACAGAGTTATCACACTTTAGATGACTCTTTCATTTCCATTGCTTTAAAAATGCATCTATTCATGATAGCATTCTATTATTCTTTTTGATATTCCTTTATTCACTTCAATGTTTCTTGATTCTCCATTCCTTTATTCCACATTCCTTCTTGCAACAAAAAAATTTTAAACCATGAGCTTTAATATCAGATGTGGTTGAGGGCACTTACTCAAAAATGAGTTTAACTATTTTGGCACCACTGAACTTGCACATTTCAAAACTTGTACATTAAGTTCCCCTTTCAGTGTTAAAGGTGAAATTTAAGTATAGACATGTCTGTCAGGAAGTACTAGATCCCCATAAGGTTGTAATTATGCAACTGTCTGTATTATTATTGATTGTGATTGATGATAGTTGAATTTTTTGGTTGAATATCTTTGCAGCCTATTCATTACCAAGGGCATCGACTGAACGTGGAAGAGAAGAAAGCTCGGCCACGATTGGGAATGGGTGGTGATGGAGGTGGCAGCCGAGGTGGAGGTGGAATGGGGGGTGGACGTGGTGGAATGGGGCGAGGGAGTGGGATGAACCGGGGTGGTGGACGTGGTGGATACTCATCTCGTGGGGGTGGTGGTGATACTCGCATGGCTGGTGGACGTGGGGGTGGCAGCGGTGGTGGCGGTGGCGGTGGAAGTGGTGGTGGTCCCCCTGGCCCTGGTGGACGTGGTGGATATCAGCGTTGACTCTTAGCCGCCTTGTTTCATTGTCTCCTTCTCTACAAGACAGTAAAAAAAAAAGATTTAAAAGCCAGAAAAAAAAGCAGCAGTTTCTCATCTTCAAATACTGTGGTTCTATTTTGTGAGCAGTGGTGCAAGAAAAAGCAAGGACAGGAAAGTCATCGTCATCACCTTTGCCAGACAAAAATCATGGTCACTGTTGTGGACATAAACATTGCCTGGCTGAATTTGTCTCCCTTTCCCTCAGTCTCTCTTTGTCTCTTCACCTAATCGAGTGGATTTTATTTAACAGCAACAGAAATGGGGGGGTGAGTTAAATTCCTTGTTTATTTGCTGCCGTGTCACTTTTTTCCCTCTCCTTTTTAAATTCTTCACTCAATCTTCCTTCTACTTTCTCATCCTCCAGTGTGTGACCAAAGTGCTCTACTCCCTCTCACCAGAGAAGACACAGACCCTTTGTACTTTGTCTAGTCTTTTTTTTGTCTTGTTCCTTTGAGTCATGGAGAGAAGTCCAGCTATTGACCCTTCTTTGATGTGTGCCATGTCGTCTCACGTGAACCCGATCGGATGATCGGATGTGAGGGAGGCTTTAGACCTGCGTTTGTTACCTCCCTCATGCACTTGGGCATTCCCGTGTGAAGATGTGGCATCACGTGAACCTGGACCCATTCTGTGCCTTCAAGTTCGTATGATAGAGAGGGAAAAAAACTTTAACATCCTCATCTCTTCCTCCTGTGGAGAATTGGAAATGAAAGAGGAAAGGAAATTCTTGGACAAACCAAATCGGTTTTTGCTTGTCTTTACATTGTCTGTGTCTTCTGGTTTTTTTCAAGATTCAGTTTAGCATTTAAACATGAAATTCTTTGTCTCTTGTGTCTTTGATTGATCTTCCTTTTATTTGGGTTCCCTTCTTGCTCCTTGTGGTCTCAGGAGATGGAAGCGTTAAAAACCGGATCCAGTTCCATCTTGTGTGTGATTTTTTTTCTGCCATGATTAGAAATAAAAGAAAAATGGAAAAAAATAACTAGCATTTTCAAACATGGACTTGAGCTGTAAAAAGTAGGGATGTAACGATATTATATCGGTATCGGTTATCGGGCCGATATTAACTGATCAGATAAATATCGGCATTCCGATATTTTGCTTCGTCGATATTCGATATCCAAGTGCATGATGAACGTCCGCTTCACTCTATAAATGTAACGTAACCGCTGACACCATCATCCAGTGATGTTTCTGTCAGTATTTTTTTCACAGGCCTACCTCAAACATTGGGCGCCATAAACGCTTCCCTGAATCCAGTTGTCATATATCAATACTCTACACCGTTCTCGCTGAAGGGAGTCTAATGACATTTGACACCTGTTTGGAGGGAGAGAGACTGTAAATATGAAGATGCCTAGGATGTGTAGATGCGTTCATTGCGGGGATTGGGTAGGTGGGACTAGTGAACGAGAGGTATACCAGGTATGCAGAGTTTGTAGCTTGGAGGAGCGACTAGGGGAGCTCATTAGCGTGGAGAAGGAGGTGGGCGAGGGGGCGAGGTACAGAGGGATGATTTAGTGG